TAAAGGCGCAGCCTGCCCGGCCATGGCTCTGAGGGAGTTGAAAGTTTGCCTTCTGGGGGTAAGTGCTCCGTGGCCGGCTCTTCGCGGGGCCCCCGGTGCGGGCCGGGGGCGGTGGGAGGGAGGGAGCCTCTGAGGGACTGGCTTGAAAGGCTCGCTCTAGTGGCGGAGAGCCTGTGCGTGAGTCCCGGAGGGGCTCCGAGCCTGGGGGGCTTTTCCCTGGGTGAAGGGTGGGCCTTGCCACCGCCAGAGCTGCCGGCGCGCCCCGGCTGCCCGGCCCCGTCCCCCCTGAGGAGACCGGGCGGCCCGAAAGGCCTTCCCCTCAGTGGAGGGAGGCTTTTCTAGGGGTAAATGTCGCTGTTTGGGTTTTTCTCTCGATATTTTCTCTTAAAAAATAAAAGCGAGGAAACACGAAAATCCAGTGTATGCTGGAAGACGGTTTCCTCGTAAGCTGTATCGGGCTTGGAGTTCACAAAATAAATAAATAAAAGCACCTGAAATCAAGCTCGGGGGGGAGGGGCCTGAACTCCTGGGGTTTTAACAACGTATGTAGGCTTTGAAAGTGCTCGAAGTGTTGCAGGTGGTGGAAGAAGGAGACATCAAGCAAACTGAAATAGAAGCTTAGAAAAATCAATGCTATAAAGTTGTGCGTTGGCTTGGTTTGGTCTGAGGGCTTTGCTGGTGAGCCTCAGGTTGAATAGGTGGAGTTGTCTCCACCTGTATCCAATTCCTCTGTTGTACAGAGTATGACTGGCAGAATTGTTTTCTGCTTCTAAATGGCCACATTGCCCTTCAGAGGGAAAAAATTATGTGTTTCTGTGCCCTTTGTGTTATGAAGGCATTTGGGGTAACTACTAGCTACTGTTCGCGTTCACCCAACCTGAGAAACCTTTCCTCGTGTAAGAAGAGGAGAATACGCACCCAGGAAAACTGGTCCTTGAACTCTCTGAACGAGGACTATGTCTATGTTTCTTTTTTTTAAGATTTGCTCTGCTTATTGAGACTGCAAACATTATAAAATACAGAGCTGAGGTAATATGCTTGAGAGGAAAACAGCTTGAAAAGATAAACAAAAACTTACATGCTGGACCCAAATTTACTACAGTATTCAGAAGATTTAAGAAAATGAATGGCATAAAATTTCGTTTTGAATGAAGTAGTTTCTCAGGTTTTTTCGTTAATGTTGTAATGGCTCTGGAGATGTAAAGCAAAAAGTTTATCTGCACCTTTCTTAATTAAATGACCACTTAAAAAGTCCAGCTACTATTGAGAACAATTTTACTGCTAATAGTTTGTTATTTCACTCCTAAATATGCATTCTATATATTTTTTTTTTTAACTGTGGATTGGGTGGTGTAAATACATGCACGACCCAGAATTTTCATGTTACGTTTCCTCTTTTACCATTTATAGTTCTGTAGAGTTTCATTAAAACATGTTTCAGGTGTGTCACAGCAGAAATTTCAAGTCTTTCATTAAGCAGGGTGGGACAGCATTAGTCAGAGGTTGAAATGCGTGTGTCACACTTGTATAATTTCACGTACTCCGTTGGCTTGCAGAGATGGAGTGCCATACTCAGTTGCTGTATATTTTACTAGAAGTGGTAGAAGGTCTCTTCCTACTCCTGTTCAGATGCAATTTGTGTATAGCTGTGAAAAAAAGAAAAGTTTGCATAACTTGTAATTAGCATGAATGTAAACTTTCGTAGTCCCTCATAAAAACATCTTAACAGTTTTGTTTACAAAATTGTAACTTGTCAGAGACCATTCATTTTTCTATTAAATTAATATAATACCTGAAGTATTTAAGAATCTTAACTTCCCTGAGAGTCTCTGAAGGAACATGTTACTCATGCACAGTATATTGCAAGATTTGAGGACAAAAAGAATCATCTGTAATGAATAATGTCTCTTTCAACTGTTTATGGCATTTGTTTGTTTGTTTTAGGACACTGGTGTGGGCAAATCAAGTATCGTGTGGAGGTTTGTAGAAGATAGCTTTGATCCCAACATCAACCCAACAATAGGGTAAGAAACTAAATAAAGTAAATGTGACCTATTTAAGAATAAAACCAAATTGCATTAATACATATTTGTACCTCCTGAGTAGATCACTTGAGGATTCTCCATGTGTGGCAGCTAAATGTGGTAATAAACATGACTTCAGCCTTAATTAGCTCATGAGCTACTTTAGAAAATGTAGGAGTGTATTCGGCACTCCTGCAGCTTCCGTTTTCACATGTAAGATCTGGACCCATTTTGTATTGTTAATCTTAAACTAACAAAATCCTGCTAGGAGTCTTGGGTTATAAATAAATTGTAGTATAGAAGCTTCTGTTGAAGGAACGACATGGTTTTCTCATGCATTACCCTTGCATTTCAAAGTCTAATTGTTATGCAACTACATGATTATTTTTTTAAAGTTTGGGCTTTTTTTAAAAGTCAAGTACAATAACGAGTCTCCTACATTTTTGAAGGTAGTTAGCATACTAATTCAGTTGTAGTTCTCTTCATTAATTATTCTAATGTTATGCATCTATATGCAATACACACACATAAGTAACTGGTGAAACTGTTAATGCAATTGGTCTCACAGGTAAGGGTATTTGAATGTTGAGCCTCAAAGTAATAATATTACTGTGCTTGAATCTTCAAATGGATAGAAGGAAGGGTGAGCATCGGGAATTCTTGGAGCGGTTGGATCTTTTTATTCCTTTCACTGTCATTTCCGCTTTGGAAGCGTCTTCTGGGCTGCTTTGCTCAGAAGCAATTCTTTATTTACAGGAGGACACAACTTCACTTGATGCTGAGAAGTGTGTGTTGGGATGGGAGGGGTGATGATGTCAATGCAGCTTCCTGTCTCAGGTGTCACACAGGCTGTATGACAGCTTTGACCAGAAAAGATCCTGCTGATAAAGATCAGCTGTGTCTCATCCTGTCCTTCTAAAAAAAGCAAATATGCTTCCTATGATGTCTTTTTCCCTTCTCCTCTAAACCCCTACCTCTTTTTTTTTTTTTTTTGCTGTAAATACTGGTCTGGAATTGCAAGATAATTCTGTAGGAACTATGCTTTTGTTTAAATTTCCCTGTTAATGAAGGTAGCCTTTGAGATAGATTGCTAAGTAGTTTTTTTTAGATCTTCAAGGGCTGAATGTTCTTAGTTACTGTCAAATTAGCTACAGTAGAGGTTCTTTGTTGGAGGACCATGAAACTAATATGTGCATAGTAGTCATATTGCTGTTGGCTTGAGTACGGGAGCAGGCTGTCTCTGCCATTTGAGTTCAGGTTGTGTAGGAAGTTCAGACCTACTGCCCGTAGTGATTCCAACTGCAGGCAAAACAACTTCTTCAGGTGGACACTATTGAAAGATCCAGTTGTTTTTCTTATTGTCTGAGATGTTTGAGAAATCGGTTATCCATCTTCATTCCTAATCATCCACAGACTTTTAAAAACAGTCTGTCAAATAGTTGTCTAGTATGGGTGGTATCCACAGTGGCCCAAATTTAGCTATTGTGTTCGTGCATGTAGTCCCTGGGGAGGGGAGTGGGAGAATAAAATTTGCTTAACTAGCAAGTGACCCGGTATGGTAACACAGACTTAGGTTTTGCAAACATGAGAGGTGCTGGGATGCTCTGTTCTGTGGTTAGACATATGTCACCGCATATCTAGACTACATGGGTTAAACGTTTGAGTAAACCCAGCATGGAATTTACATTATGTCTCCAGTTACATGTGAACTGCAAGTCTGCTTTCGGATCTAAATTCTAAAATACTGTGCTTGATGGATTTAGGCTCTGCCTGTCTGCAAGACTCTCTGAAGCTGCAGAGCAAAGGTCGCGATCTGTGATGCCTCTGTCCTGGCAAAGGAGAATTTTCTGTAAGCTAGAGAAAACTCAGGAGAGGCTTTTTCCTTTTTTCTTTCCTCCCAGGGAAGGCCCGAAACTGGAACGAACTTCCTTAAATCTTGTTGTCTTCACTCCAAAGTCAATTTCTTTTTGTCTGGTAGTTTTCTGACTGCGTGGTGTGTGGGTCGATTTTTTTTTCTTTTTTT